CAGTTATGACTGCGTACATTCCCACCGTCCGTGATTTCTCCCCTAATTTACAGGTAAAAGCAGATATAAGGCAAGACGTTCGAGGGGACGAAATCAATGGAAATAAAGAAACAGGGTGCCATTGTGTGCGTTTACGCAAGAGACCACGTGCGCGATCGTTCCCACGATATTTATTCAAGAGACCCGGGAAACATATATAAAGGGTGTGTGGACTTCATAACGGACCACTTCCGAATTTACCGAGCTATAGTACGTTACGCCCGGGGGACCGAGCCAGCGGCCCCCCGGGCTTGAAGCTATAAAGTCTAATTAAAAGTTGTCATTTGTCATTAAGTTGCTAATTAACGGAAAAACGGTTTCAACTGTGAACAATGACGCCACCGGAAGACCCTTTGAAGTAGATCGGAAGTCCGTCGGAAAATTTTCGATGTAAGTTGTCCTCTTTGTTAAAACTCTTCAGTGTTTTGTTTTAAAGTCACTTCTTTTCGTTGTTAAACATAGGAGTTAGTATATATAAGATTTTAAAATTAAATATGTACCTACTATTTAAGACATAAAATTTTAGACATTATTCGTTATTGGCCGGATCCTGTAGCAAGATTATTAATTACTTATTCTTTGTTGCAGATTTCAAACAATTGCTTTGTGCATGTTATATATATGGAAAACGAAATTGAAAACAAAACTATGGTGAGCCTCAGAAGCCGTTGCATTATTGCGATGAATGCGGCGAGACGTAGCAGGATACATTTTCAGGACAATTTGAACAAAGAGACCATTGGAGCGGTAGCTAAGTAGAATTTACTACATCTTAGACTTCCCAAAGATAGTTTAGGCTTAGTTAGGTCTTAGTTTAAGCTTTCGCGTTACGTCTTAGAAATAGATTCTGTACCATTATGTGAATCTTATAAGTTGAAGTACATCAAATAAGTTTTGCATTTCTGTGTCAATAGTATTTTAAACTTCGGTTCGAATGTTTTAAATCTAAATAGCCTTAATGATCGGTGTTGTTTGTTTTGTTCAAGTTAAAGTTTCATGTTTTTGTTTCACATTAATGTTATGCGTTTGGAATGAATGTTTGTTTGTTGTTCAGTTTGTTTTGCATTCCAACAAACTAGTTAATTTTGCATTCAGAGTATACGAAAGCTGTTATTATTGTCTGTTTACTTTGCTTTTGATTTACTTATATAAATTATCACCACGTCAAACTGATTAAAGATTAAAATTTAAAATATTATCACTCGGACCGCGGGGTACAAATGTTTAACTTTAAAATTTTTGTTATTAGCTAGCTGTTGTGTTCAAGTTTGTCGCGTTGTTTTTTTTTGTTTTTTGTTTTGTTAACGTTAATTTTGCATTTTGTTTCTGTTAAATTTTACAGCCGAAAAGAATTCGTTAAGTTCACAAACACCTTGTTTTCACAAACTGTTACATTTAATTTGTTCGTAATATTTGGATTTTTGATTGGTCTTGTTGGAGTGAATTATTACAACGAAACCGTTTCTCTAATGTTATTAGCTAAAGTTATCCGTTTTAAATTGTTGAATTTTCGTTTGTAAATTATTGTTGATTTATTTGTTTAAACTAAAGTTGAGTTTTTGTTTGGTTATTCGTGCTTCGTTCGTTTTGTTAACGCGTCAGACTTTTGAAGTATTTGTGTTATACTAGCATACGTTTTTCGCGACGCCGTTTGTTATTCTGATTACCGAATATTAACGCTTCCTACGTTAAAACAAAGATGGTTATACGTTAATTATAATTAGCGTAATTACTGGTGGTAGGACCTCTTGTGAGTCCGCGCGGGTGGGTACCACCGCCCCGCCTATTTCAGCCGTTGTAACTATACTGAGAACTTAGAACTTATTTCTCAAGGTGGGTGGCGTATTTACATTGTAAATGTCTATGAGCTCCAGTCACCACTTAACACCATGTGGGCTCGTCCACCCAACATAAAGCATAAAAAAAAATCGTATCGTGTACGTAATAATAACTAAAAGATTATTATTTTTTGTGAAAACAGCATCGCAATTTGGGTTTAAAATGACGTACTAATGACGTGATATTTTTTAATAGTGTGGCTTCACGAACCACTGTATGATCATTTTTATCATCCTAGCCTGAATACCAAATTAATTCCAATTCCAACTTAGTAATTTCAAAACTGCTTAATATACGGCGGGCTGTTTAATACGGATTCGTCTGAAGAAATTTTCTTTCTTAGGTCCCAAACCTCTATTCTAGAATTCGGATAATATCACTTTTTACTATGAACAATTAAAAAAGCAATCAATTTTTCCCCCACTAGAGTAATTCAAATTTATGATACATTTTTCTTTCTTTTTCAAAATTACTGTACTGAAAAATTTTAGTTTTTAATCCTTCTATGAAAGTATACATTTCTGTTACACATTATACTATGAAGTTATGAAAAATCGATATCGTTTTGACACGCAAATAATTTTGAACAGAATATGTCCAAGTTTACCGAAGTGTGCCTTAAAGCTAAATGTGCCTAAAACTGTTTTTTGATCCTTTTACGCCTCCTTACAAGGTTCTAGTATCTACGAGAACCTTGTAAAGACGTTTTGTTGAATTGAAATTACCTTAGGGTATTTTTATTTAAGTCTATCTGCCTGTTAACTGTGATGACAGCCTAATGATTATTTTCTTCTTTGGGTATTAGCTCTAGTTTGAGAGTTTGTCTCTGTTTTAACTTTAAAATTATAGCAATAGTTTTAAACTAGGTACGTAGAGTTCAATACACTTAATTCGCAGTTCACAAATTCACATAAGCTCCGGGAACAAAATATTCATTACAACTCATCATAAATTGTTCACTGTTCAGTTTTCTGTTTGTTAACGTTATTTAGTTGTAAGCGTTGAATTATTGTTAAGTTTGGATTGTGATATTATCGTTAAATCATTTCGATGGCTGTGTTCGTTAGTTTTACGTTAAGTTTTCGTTTTGACTGTTGATTTGTTGTTGTTATGCCGACATTAAGGCCACAATACTGACCTCTCTTGTACTATATTTTATTGCTAAGTGTAGTTTAAGTATTTTAAGTTCTAGTTGAAACTGAAGCTTGAGTAAAATTAACGTGTTAGTTAGTATGCTAGTAAGATGAATAGAGATGTTTGATTGTAATCGTGTGTTTGTGTGAAATATAAATTAAAAACAGCCAATATGTGTTTTTATTGATTTCCCCTTTGAAACTGTATCCATAAAGATATTATTAGCTTAATAACGGACATTCGTACTCAAGATATTAAAGTAAATATTTTATTGCTTTTTTTTTAAACCTTTATTCTTTATAAGAGATCGAATTTGAGGTATAGTTAAATGGTTATTCTTATCCATAGACACGGCAGAATCGATGCTTTCAGGTATGCGGTTGGAGTCTCAAATTTGTTTTAATAACTGTTATTTTACTTTTTGTTCAAATTGAATGGACAGATATTGCGCGGCAGAAGTAGATAGGAGGAGGGTAGATAAATTGACATTACCTCACAATATGTGGAGCATTTATCACTTTTCACTGAGTTAAAACCATCGTGATACGAATTGTATGTATTTTAGCGTATCTGTATATAAAGTAAAATATTCAGCCCACCGCAGCGTCGCTTGAATTTAGGCAGCGCATTCATATGCACACAGTACATTGTTTTTCTGGTTTAGAATTGGATAATACAATTTTAGAGCTTAAGCAAAGGCGGCTGGAGTACGGCCAAGTGTTTCACTATCTTTAACCAAATTCGGGTGCTGTACCCGTATACATGTTTACTGAGTCTGTGCGGTCGCAAACATTGTCCATGCATTAGACGGTAGATACACAGATGTAATGAAGATAGTTTTCGGTTGAGGAAAACAAGAAGTTTCGATGCGCAATCTCGCCGCTTAGCTTCTTCTTAATTGCTTAACTTTAAACGGGGCATCTTCCTGTCGCCGAATTCGTTAAACTCGAGCCATACTTTTCCGAGAACGAGATACTTGGAACATTGCGACTTTGAAATTGAATAAATGAAAAATAAGTTGACTTTAAAATGTGTTTTGTTTTTTTCTCAAAATCATTTATATGCTACTAGATAATGACCGAGCTTTGCTCGGTATTTTTTTTGATAAATTGTCATCATCATCATCATCATTATCATCATCAGCTTTTATCTGCCCACTGCTGGACATAGGCCTTCCCTAATGAATTCCACATAATGCGATCCTCCGCCTTCCGCGTCCAACGACTTCCCGCCGTGCGCACTAAGTCGTCAGTCCACCTGGTTGGAGGACGCCCCACGCTCCTGGTACCCATCCGTGGCCTCCATTCGAGGACTTTCCTTCCCCACCTTCCTTGATAAATTGTGTTTTTTAGAAATTATAGTTTAATTCGAATTACATATTGATAAAATGATGAAATATGAATAATATTTTTCGATCTTAGCGACAGAATAATAAAAAAATATGAAACTGGTTATTTAAAGAAAAAATTAAAAATATCGATAAAGTTGATTATTGAAAACACGAATAAAACAACATTTTCTGAAATTAAATCGTAGCTAGATCGATTTATCGCCCCCAATATACTAAATTTTCTGAAAATCGTTGGAGCCGTTTCCGAGATTCAGATTATGTATGAAATATATTTATATACAAAAATTGCTCGTTTAAAGATATACGATATTTACATATTAGTTAGTGTATTAAATATGGTATGAATTAAGACGTCAGAAACATTTGTCACGGAAATTTAACTAGGTTAACATTTCTACGTGTCTAAGATATCGTAAATGGTATAAAGACGTTTGTCTTCAAACACAGTTTCACGCCTGGCGAAGTGTAAAAGATGAAATATAAAAGGCATTCGTAATGCTTTTGAAGCGTTCGCCTCTGTTCCAAATACACGTCGAAGTTCGAAATATTGCTGGCGACATTCGCACAACGTTTTATTGTTAAAATTATTTATTTTCCTCGTAAAGCGTCGTCTAATTATAACAATGGATTGAACGTTCTAAAATTCAATGGCATGTTGGCTGCTACAATATGTTGGATATTTCGTAGTTTCATTTTCACAAATGGCCAGCAAAGAATGTGTCGGAGTCTCATCCATCGACAGAGTTCCTCTTAATCCGGTGATAATTCCCGTACTTTGGCGACTTCTTTTCAGTTGCTTTTCAGTTCTTTCCTGTGTAGATACTAATCTCTGCTGGTTCATTTGCACGCGTCTAACTTTTTTTCGCACTAAATTTGAATAGTAATCAATTTTTTGTTGTAAGCCATCAAGCGACCAATAAAATTGAAGGTCAGCCAGGATTATTACGAAAAATGCGGCGTATATGCAAGTCAGTCCCACAGCGAAGTAATAAAGTTTTGGATCTATCGATGAATAGAATGGACAATCGTCTTGGAGGGCGAGGCAATTCCAGAAAAATGAAGGGTGTTCGATTTGTTCGTTCAAACTGGTCATAGTTATTCGTCACAATGATTTGAAATAATGATCAACAAAAAAATTTAGAGCATTTTTGTGATGGTTTGACAAAAACGGGATTATTGAAGAACATAATGACTACGTTTGACAATTGCATTTTCACTTCATAGTGACATTTTGTCCAAAGAGTAATTTAAGAAATAAAAAAGAATGAAGTATGTAATAATTTTGAATGATTTTTGAAATTTCAAGCATTTTCCCAGACGTCTAGAAGAAGTGCATCTCGACGCTTAAGCTCATTTTCATTTACATTTAATTAGGCGTACCGCGTTGTGGCACTTTCTTTTAATTACGGTTTTCGAGCGTTGCTCTTTCTGTAATACTTAGTTTATGTGAAGCTACTTTTATATTTACCGCCATGATAAATAGGAGGGTTTATCTGATCCTCATCATATACACGCTAAAATTTCGAAAGCGAATATTTTATAAGATGTCAGGTATACCCGTACTAAGCTATGCGACTATGACGTGACCAATTTGTTTAAGTAAATTCGAAGTCTAATACGACTTGACACGCGTTCACAAAATACATATTATATGTCGAAGAAGAAAAAGCATCGTTTAATAAAATTCAGTTTCGCAAAATTTATAAATTTACGTAATTAATGGTGGCAAACGTATTGTACGTCCGCTAGGATTGATATCTCATCGTCCTGACTATTTCTAACGCGAAGCATTTAATGCTCCAGTTTTGGTGTTATCTTGATGTACATATATTATATTCATACTACCTATATTATACTGTATACTATACTATACTATACTATACTGGCCATACCACACTTGAGGCTTCTACCTCATGTCTCGAAGTAAATCGCGGAATTAACAGCAGACGGAATGTGAATTCTTTCAATCATGTGTGGAAAAGAATACTACAAATTTTAAGCCTACTGTTCAAAACGGAACGAACAGTCATTACGTGGCACACAAATATTGACAAAAATCGTTTAAGATCACTTTGAAACATGGATACAATGGATACTAATCTAATGCTACAATGGAGACGATGTTATTATTTTCTTCAATTCCTGAGAGTAGTCCCGTGGGTATGATTTATTAAATTTTCGTTATACCACCTTTTTTTTTTCTACCTAAGCTGAGAGCCTTGAGAGGCTATATCAGCGTAGCCTTAACTAGTAGGTGAGCTCACGGGGCTCAAACCTGACGAAGTTGCTAAGACGAACCCTATCAAGAGTCGTGCTTCGCAGAATCTACCACCAGATCGGAAACGCGACCCACTCAGAAGATCCGGCGAGAAACTCAGTGGGCTGTGTCTGAGGGTTACGTTATACCACAAAACACTAATCAGAATTTGTCCTCTGACAATGGCGGTGCCAACTTGGATATGGTTTTCAGTGATAAGATCAGAAGCCGGTCTTTCGGTTCTTTCGGTTCGGTTCTTTGTTTTTCACGAGACGTAGACATAATTAAGCCCACTTTTACAGTACAAACTCATGTTTGTTATTTTAATTTTATTATTTTGGACGTTTTGTTTGCTGTTAGGAAAATATAAACGTCGACAAATAACATTTTACTCATCCGTGATCACGAAAACTATTACGTAAGTAAGTTAGTAATAAGTTTTTTATTGGTGGTAGGACTTCTTGTGTGCGCACGGGTAGTGACCACCGCCCTGCCTATTTCTGCCGTGAAGCAGTAATGCGTTTCGGCTTGAAGGGTGAGGCTGCCGTTGTAACTATACTGAGACCTTAGAACTTATATCTCAAGGTGGGTGGCGTATTTACGTTGTAGATGTATAGACCATAGCCCATAGGGGCTCCAGTAACCACTTAACACAAGGTGGGCTGTGAGCTCGTCCACCCATCAAAACATTAAAAAAAAGTAATCGAAACTTTGGAAATAAAAAAATTACAACAAAAATCTAGATTAAAACCATAGAGCTGTATAGTTTCTGATATAATCCTGATTACGTTTGATATAATCCTGTTTTACCACAGAGTTCATCTACTGAGCTTTTTATCACGTAGCGTCTGGCCCTTGAATGAACGGTATTGGCACCAAAAGATGCCCTTCTTCAAACGAGGCTTGAATATAGAATTTCAGAGCTAAGAAGCGGCATAGTGCTTCTAGTATTGATAGCGTCCGTCCCATGCAAGTCTGTCTCTCATCGGTCTGTGAAGACTATTAAAAGCATTTGATTCTTATAAAAATACTCTATTTTTAAGCTAGCATGTACGCATAAAAATGTATATTAAACTAAAATAAGACTATTAAAATTCAGCTTTGAAGAACGCGCTCATGAGTTCAGCCTGAGAGGGTTTGCTAATATTTGCCTAAGTAAGAGCAGTGCCTTGCTGTATGTATCACCGCATAAATTTAGAATCGCGACCAACTAAGAGGTTCCGGAGAGGAACTCAGTGGGTTGTGTATGTGAGTTAAGTTTTGGGTCGAATTCTTCTTCGCATTCTATGAGTTCGACGAGAGCTGTCACTCACTCTGTTGTTGACATAGACCTATATTATAGTAGTTGTTGATGGTATAGGTGACATGTAAATGTCATATTGAATGCAATAAGTCATTTTGTAATTAATTTTCTTTATACGTGATCTTTACCCTAAGTCAAAGGACATGGGCCATTTTCGGCCCAGCTACTAGTGTTCTCAAGGACACGAAAATTAAATATCTATAGAAAAAACATTTCATTTTTACATACTTAGGTATTATAAAACTTAAGGGTATTTTAATAGTGGGATTATTAAAATTATACATAAAAAGAAATTAGCATGACTAAGCTCCATTGATAATATTGAAGGAGTTGCCATAGGTAAAATACATTTATATTTTAAACAATCCACATTAAATCGTCTTAAAAAAAACATTATATTGCAAAAAACTAGCAAAATATATTAATATATTTGATTAATGGATTTTAAAACTAATATAAAACATTATATCTAAACAAAAATCAATTTTTATAGTTTTAAATCCGTAGAATAAATCATTACATTGATCAATAATTATAATTATTATTGATCATAAGCAAACTCCATAGGCCTCCCTAAGGAGTGGCGTCCCTCCGATACACATATTATACAAGGTACAAATTTTAATATTAAATAAATTTTAATAAATTTGAGTTAGAACTAATGTAAGTATAGTAGTGTAAGAGCTTTTCAGGATATTACCAGGATATAACCCTTCTACTCAGATCTGTTCATAAAATATTTATAACTGCTGATACCATGTACCCCACCCTTTTTTACATTAAAATCATTTTTTCTTATACTATTTTTAACTCAAACTTATTACAATTTATTTTCTATTTTTTAGCTGGAGTTTCTATAAAAGCGTATTTTTTTTTAGTTTTTTTAAAAAAAAAATTTTTACTTTTTGGTTGGATTTAAATTTTTTCTATTTTTTTTAAATATTGAATTGTCATCGGTCCTTAATAAGTATGCCAAATTTCGAGTTAATTGACATAATTATATTACATACGTCTGAAGCAGCTTCAATAAATAATAAAAACGTATTAAAATATATATTTCTCTGCTTATGCCCATGTTTATATTGGATAACAATTTAGATGATAAGGTCAGCAGTCACCTGTGCTGATATCAGCCGATTATACTCTTATCAGTATAGAGAGACTATGAAATTGAATTAAATTAAAATACATTGGTTAATAAATTTGGAATATATATATTTAATGCTGTTGTTATAGATTTAAAAAAAAGACAACATATACAGAAAAAAACATATTATATGTTTTGATAATGTTAAATCTTTTTTTTTTGTTAGTGAAAAATTATTTTCATCAGGTTTATTGGTTCACCTGGGGTTTGGTTTGGAGCTAATGCACTTCACGAAACCTATCTCGAAACAAGATAACCTCAATTGTTGTATATTAGCTGTGCCACCCCTCAAACCGAAATGCATTATTGGTTTACGCATGAAATACAATGATAGGACCTACCCGTCCAAAGTCACAATTCGCACAACCAGTAAATCTATATATAGGTATTAATACGTGAAGCAAAAACTTTGTACCCCTTTTTACGAAAATTGCGAGGACGAAAGAGTATGAAATTTTCCACGCTTATAGAGAATATAGAGAAGAAGTGCACAATACTAATATTTTTTTTAAATTATGCATAAAAGATACATTAAATCAATAAAGAAAATTTTACACACACTACATACCTACCATGTATTTGACGCAACTCGCATGTATACTATTTATTGTCAAACTTTTAGTCTTGACGTCTGTGGTCAAATTGAGAATAGATTAAATATTGTTTGTCTTTATTAATATTTTTTTATAGTGTAGCCTTGGCGAAATTTGTGATTATAGAAGTATAAAATACAATCATAATAGTGTACAAACTTACAATTCCAATTAATTATAGTCGAATTTCGACTACTGCGGGACCTCTAGTAAATATTAAACAGATGACAAAAATTGATCATCGTTTGACAGTATTTTAAACAAACTCTTTCATGAAGACACACGTTGTTGGCACACTAAAATGTTGTTCGTTAAAGTTTCACTTGCAACTTCTATACTTTTCGACTTGCCAATGCTTCATATTTTCAATACAATTTTGTTCGAGTAAGTTTATGATTTTTGAAAATTACGTCGGAATGTAAAATGAAAAGTTTGTTCTTCTCAAAGAGCTTGATGTTTCTGTGGTATTTGATTATTTCAAATTTTTTTTTCCTTTGAAAAGTTTTTTATTATTATGATTAAGTACTTCTTTGTTAATTATTTGTTTCATAGGAGCCATATTTTATTTGATTTAACAAAACACACCAGTCGTGTTAAAAATAACCATTTAGAGTTATTTAATTATTAATGATAACAATAGCGAATTCGTCCCATTTTAATTTTAATTAATATCATGTAGGTACGTACGTACATACGTGCGTAAACTAGTTGGTTTTTTGTAATAATTAACAATTACTGTGAAAATTATCTTTTGATTTTATTAGCTTCATATATTTGTTTTCTATATATATATAATTATCATAATAAATTCATTTTATATAAAAAAAATATCTCATTTCTTTGCAATAATTTTTTCAGACTCTTCCCAGAGACTGCGAGCCAGTTCAGTATTACGCCCCGTTTCGGTTAAAATTTTAACCTGACAATCGGCGAAATAACAGCCGGTTACGTTTTCTACCTCAGGAGACACCGCCAGGTATATTGAAGTCTGAGCCCCTTCCCAAGGGGTCTTAACAAAGCAACTTGTGATAGGAAGCCAGTACTTCGAAAATGGCAGTTTATCAAAATTTAAAATATTAGTATTTACAAAGCCGGGATGTAAGCAATTAGCAGTCACTCCAGTACCTTCAAGCAGTCTCGCCAACTCAGTGGTCATTAGAACATTGCACAGCTTGCTGTTTTTATATGCTTGTATTTTACTGTATGACTGCGGGGTTTCTTTTTCCAAATTTAAATTGTTAAAATCAATAATTCCTTTTGAGTAGGCTATGGACGTAACGTTGATGATGCGACTCGGAGCTGACGATTTAATTAGCGGAAGAAGAAGATTCGTGAGCAGAAAAGGCCCGAAGTGATTTGCTTGCATACCGACAAACAAGCCGTTTTCCGTCTTTACATTGTCCACGTCGAGTACTCCAGCATTGTTGATAAGAATGTCTAAACGCTTTTCGGTTTTAATGAATTCTTCAGCGAATCTTCTGACAGAATGAAATGACGCTAAATCCAACTGACGATAATGCACATCGTGGTTCCCTGATTCTGCAATGATCTGGTCTCTGGCCTTGGTACCGCGTAGATTGTTCCTGCAAGCGAGTATTACCCGGGCTCCACGCTCCGCTAAGTCTTTTGCTGTCTCGTATCCTATACCGTTGTTGCTTCCGGTCACTATCACCACTTTGCCGACCAAATGCCTGCTGCATTTATTTATACCGTATGTTAATTTACAATACGTTATATAAAGTAACGCTAATATGAGATTCAACACAATAAAACTAATGAAAACCATCGTGCTAGCTTAAGGTCAGTTATAAACGTGATTCTCTGCACTCAGTCACACGCCACTAAAACTATTTATCAAATATAATAATAGATAAGTGCTTCTATAAATGTGCTGGCCATATCTTACGGATACCGGTAATTACAGATTAGATATTTCAAACAGGTTTTGAATTACCGATAACTATACTGATTTTATACCTACACATTTCAAAGTAACTTAATTTACTTTACGAAATTGATTAGAAAATCCAATAATTACTTTAATCTTGAATAATATTACTTAATTAATGGCATTCGTGTTTGGTTTTCAAATTTGCTCCTAGCATTTTTTGCTGAGCAATTATTATTTCAACAACGTGCTATTAGTATTTCCACAAGGGTCAACTTCTTTACTTATTTATATTAATGTAATATTTTATTTTAATATTATTGTTTTGTTTCATCATTTCATCATCATCATTTCAGCCTATCGCCGTCCACTGCTGAACATAGGCCTCTCCAATAGATTTCCAGTGCGACCGGTCCATTGCCACCTGCATCCAACGAGACCCAGCGCTTTTTACTAGGTCGTCGGTCCATCTAGTAGGTGGCCGTCCCACACTGCGCTTGCCAGTACGTTGTTTTGTTTAGTAGTATTAAAATGTGTTTTCGTTTATTATTTAAAATATTTGCTGTAATTCTCAAAACAATGACGTTAAAATGATTCGCTAAATCTGCGATGAACAATACATTTCCCACTAAGTTTCTCACCGGATCTTCTCAGTGGGTCGCGTTTCTCATCCGGTGGTAAATTCTGCGAAGCACTGCTCTTGCTAGGGCCAGTGTTAGCAACACTCCCGGTTTGAGCCCCGTGAGCTCACCTACACGTCAAGGAGAAGCTGAAATAGCCTATCAAGGCTATCAGCATAGGTAGGGGAAAAAAAACGATACACGTTGAGAAATTTCTTCAGAGTTTAAATTTATTTAATAGAGAATTCGATAAAGAGAGTTATATTTTTTTTATATCATTTCTTTAATTTATTTTTTCCTACAACTTTCACAAGATTGTGAACAATGTTGTCTTCCCTATATAGCATACAATGACCAAATAATTTCGTTAGTAAATATGTAAGTAATTTTATCCTTAAAACAACTTTTTTCTGGTGGTAGGACCTCTTGTGAGTCCGCGCGGGTGGGTACCATCACCCTGCCTATTTCTGCCGAGAAGCAGTAATGCGTTTCGGTTTGAAGGGTGGGGCAGCCGTTGTAACTATACTTGAGACCTTAGAACGTATATCTCAAGGTGGGTGGCGCATTTACGTTGTGGATGTCTATGGGCTCCAGTAACCACTTAACACCAGGTGGGCTGTGAGCTCGTCCACCCATTTAAGCAATAAAAGAAAAAACATACATTTATCAAATCAAAGTCAAATTTTACTCAATAAACGTCTTCTATAAGGAGAGAAAAGTAAAATTATGTAATTTTTTCCAGTTATTCGATCATTCGATTCGACCGTGTGTCATGGCAATTAGATACAGTTTATTTATCAATCAATTAGGTACCTTACCTTTACCGTACCTTTTGGTATCGCACGGCAATTTATTTTGCTGAAAGATTTCAATTATATAACTTTGAGATAGTGAGTATAGATATAATTTCTACCTCATACATTTATTTAATTACAAAAATTGAGTATTGTCTTCGATGCTGTGGTTGTTGTTACCGTTGTTGTTGTTATTGTTACCCGCGTAATGTCACTGTTGATGATGATCTTTGTATGTTAGTGTTATAGATTAGCTTTTAACTTAGCCAGACTTAGTCCTATTTTATACAATTAATAAGACTGTTGTTTGTAAACAAGTTTTTTATTACTAGGTACTTGTTTACTAATTATTTGTTTCATAGTGGCCATATTTTATTTTATTTAACAAAGTACACCAGGTTTAATGATAAAAATAGCGAATTCTACATGTATCTACGTGCGCGCGTAAACTAGTTGGTTCCTTGAAATAATTAACAATTAGTGTGAAAATTATCTTTTGATTTTATTACTTTCATATATTTTTTTCTATATATATATATATATATATATAAATACATTATTATATGCATTTTATATAAAAAAAATATATATACATACATATATATATATTTCATTTCTTCGCAATTATTTTTTCAGACTCTTCCCAGAGACGGCGAGCCAGTTCAGTATTACGCCCCGTTTCGGTTAAAGTTTTAACCTGACAATCGGCGAAATAGCAGCCGGTTACGTTTTCTACCTCAGGAGACACCGCCAGGTGTATTGAAGTCTGAGCCCCTTCCCGAGGGGTCTTAATAAAGAAACTTGCGAAAGGAAGCCAGTACTTCGAAAATGGCAGTTTATCAGGATTTAAAATATCAGTTTTTACAAAGCCGGGATGTAAGCAATTAGCAGTCACTCCAGTACCTTCAAGCCGTCTCGCCAACTCAGTGGTCATTAGAACATTACACAGCTTGCTGTTTTTATATGCTTGTATTTTACTGTATGACTGCGGGGTTTCTTTTTCCAAATTTAAATTATTAAAATCAATAATTCCTTTTGAGTAGGCTATGGACGTAACGTTGATGATGCGACTCGGAGCTGACGATTTAATTAGCGGAAGAAGAAGCTTCGTGAGCAGAAAAGGCCCGAAGTGATTTGTTTGCATACCGACAAACAAGCCGTTTTCCGTCTTTACATTGTCCACGACGAGTACTCCAGCATTGTTGATAAGAATGTCTAAACGATTTTCGGTTTTAATGAATTCTTCAGCGAATCTTCTGACAGAATCAAATGACGCTAAATCCAGCTGACGATAGTGCACATCCTGGTTCCCGGATTCTGAAATGATCTGGTCTCTGGCCTTCTTACCGTGTAGATCATTTATGCAAGCGAGTATTACCCGGGCTCCACGCTCCGCTAAGTCTTTTGCTGTCTCGTATCCTATACCGCTGCTGCTTCCGGTCACTATCACCACTTTACCGACCAAATGCCTGCTGCATTTATTTATACCGTATGTTAATTTACAATACGTTCTATAAAGTAACGCTAATATGAGATTCAACATAATAAAACTAATGAAAACCATCGCGCTAGCTTAAGGTCAGTTATAAACGTGATTCTCTGCACTCAGTCACACGCCACTAAAACTATTTATCAAATATAATAATACGATAAGTGCTTCTATAAATGTGCTGGCCATATCTTACGGATACCGGTAATTACGGATTAGATAGGTACTTTATTCAAACAGGTTTTGAGTTAGTGATAACTATACTGATTTTGTACTACATATTTCAAAGTAACTTAATTTACTTTACGAAATTGATCAGAAAACCCAATAGTTACTTTAAACTTGAATAATATTACTTAATTAATGGCAATCGTGTTTGGTTTTCAAATTTGCTCCTAGCATTTTTTGCTGAGCAATTAGTATTTCAGCAACGTGCTATTAGTATTTCCACAAGGGTCAACTTCTTTACTTATTTATATTAATATAATATTTTATTTTAATATTATTGTTTTGTTTAGTAGTATTAAAATGTGTTTTCGTTTATTATTAAAAATATTTGCTGTAATTCTCAAAACAGTGACGTTAAAATGGTTCGTTAAATCTGCGATGAACGATACATTTCCCACTGAGTTTCTCGCCGGATCTTCTCAGTGGGTCGCGTTTCCGATCCGGTGGTAGATTCTACGAAGTACTTCTCTTGCTAGGGCCAGTGTTAGCAACACTCCCAGTTTGAGCCCCGTGAGCTCACCTACACGTCAAGGAGAAGTTGAAATAGCCTCTCAAGGTTATCAGCATAGATAGGGAAAAAAAAACGATACATGTTGGGTAATTTCTCCAGACTTTAAATTGATTTAATAGAGAATTAGATAAACAGAGCTATAATTTTTTTTATGTAATTTCTTTAATTTATATTTTCCTACAACTTTCACAAGATTGTGAACAATGTCGTCTTCCCTTTATAGCATACAATGACCAACTAATTTCGTTAGTAAATATGTAAGTAATTTTATCCTTAAAAAAACTTTTTTCTGGTGGTTGGACCTCTTGTGAGTCCGCGCGGGTGGGTACCACCACCCTGCCCATTTCTGCCGAGAAGCAGTAATGCGTTTCGGTTTGAAGGGTGGGGCAGCCGTTGTAACTATACTTGAGACCTTAGAACGTATATCTCAAGGTGGGTGGCGTATTTACGTTTTTTTTTTTTGATTGAAAGTTTACTGGTGGCCCGAAGGCCTTTCCAGTTTCACTAGGACAAAGCGAGCAAAGGCTCAGCCAAGAGGGGTGGGATTTGCTAACAACTGCCCGAGCGCCTCCGAAGGAGACCTAACAACTCAAGAGTTGCTGCTTCGCAAATTAATCTACTACCGGATCGGAATCGCGACCCACTGAGACGATCCGGCGAGAAACTCAGCGGGCTGATGCATGGGTTAGGTTGCACGGCGAATTCTTTGTCGAGTTCGACGAGTACGGTTACCGAGGTCCCTAAGCCTGCTCCTAGTGTTAGAGCTGAAGGCGTCTAATGCAAAGGTTATTGGATCTGATGGATCCGTAAGGACGTGTCTAGGGCGTCGACGGTGACTGGCTCCTGCATGATCAGGATTCGGGGAGTAGTCAGCGGCGGCAACGATAAGGCGATTATCATGACGCATAGCCTTATCGAAGTATCGTTCCGACGCTGACTTCATGTATTTCCGAATTGATTCGAGGCCCAGGTCGTCGTGTAGGTCAACGTTCCTCACGAACCACGGAGCCCCGACAGCTAACCTGCAAAAGCGGGATTGTAGGGATTGGAGGGTGTCTATGTGTGTGCGGGCCGCGTGAGCGAACACCACACTCGCGTAAGTCATGACGGGCCTTATGCAAGTTTTGTAAAGTGTCACCTTGTTCCGAAGGGACATTTTACTCCGCTTACAGATCATGGGGTAGAGTCTACCGAGAATAAACGCGGCACGGTCACGGACTGATTTTATATGCGGGCGGAATGTCATCGATGCATCCAGGGTAACGCCCAGGTACTTGACCTTCCTGGCCCAGGGTATGGGT